CCTATCGCTGACTATGGATTTTATCGATTGTGCATTGATTACTGATTTTCGTATCTGCATAGATTCATTGATCATATGCAATTGACTGTGACTAACTTGCATATTGTTTCCAGTACTGTGCTTTGATTTCAGTTATAGGTATTAGGTGACCTACTGGGCTTTTTGAAGCTCATTATATGTGGTTAATATTTTCAGGTCAGGGCAAGGGAGCAGGAGATTGAGGTTGATCAGGAATCTCCATATTTTTTGTTCTTTTGGTTTTAGTGATTCTTTTGTACTCAAGACAGGATAGATTTCAGTTCATGTGTTTTTAGTGTAGCTCCTGAGTATTGTATATGATCTTTTGGGATATGAATAGAACTGTACATTGATGTTTTAAATTATAGATTTTTGTTAGACTGTTATTGATTGAAGACTATAGATAGCTCTGGTAAATGGTTTTAATGAATTGACTGAAATTCTTTCCAAGTTAGATCTTCGGGCGTCACATCTCTAGTCCTGGATGCCCAAATTATCATGCACATTCTTTGTAACTACATCATTCCCCTCTTAGGATCAAAATTACACCTTTTCTCTCTCTTGCTACCTATTACATTATAGCTCACATTAATTTTAATGCAGTTGATCTTATAATCTGATATCTTAAAAATCTAACATGCATTAGAGATTCTAGACATAAGAGAAAGCCTAATCTTGACTTAGGAAATATTATTACTTTTGTCCTATAATTCAAATGCAAATTTCAAATTTCGGCATCACCTGATCACCTCCCAATCTTCTATTCCAATAGCTCCTTCCATGTCCTTTTTAGTGCTCATTCTTCTAATGTTCACTATATGGATGAAGAGCTTATGGTAGATGAGGGAGGACCTATTCCAGCACCTGCCTCTATCTACCAGTAATCTTAGTTTGATTTGCTTGTCTATAGGTTTAATCAGTGGGAGGTTCACTTTGATTCCTAAATAGTAGGGCAACTCCAGCAACATGAAAATGATTTAACTTGCTTTGATCACTATGTAGTCCAGTAGTAGCAGCATCATGACCAGGACATGACTTAGGTAAAAAACTAATTTGCCTCTCTCCACTAGTACTTCCAACCATCACCTACCCCACCTACACCTGATCAGGGTCCCTCCTTGTTTAGTTTATTCTATTTTGTGATAGTTGTTTACTTCTATACTTTTTTGTTGTTTATAGTTTCCTATTTTTGTTGTTGTTTCCTCCTTTTTGTGATGTAAAAAGGGGAAGCAACATGTTGTTCATAGATTATATTTTTTTTCTGAATGACGACTTTCATATTTGTATCTTAATATTTTGTGTTATGTTGTGTTATGTGTTATTTTTTTCATTTAAAAAAAATATTTTAAAAATAAATAGGATTATAAGATCGGACTTGATAGATATTCCTTAGTTGTTCCATGACCCCACTTAAGCCCATTCATTTCTTGATACATTACTTTGATGCCATTTCATAGGCCCTCGTTCATTGAAAGGTGACCGCCCATTAGGATACAATGATTCGCCCTCCTCCTCGTGGTCCGATTTAGCCTTCCAATGTGAGGTTTCTCCTATTGAGATGAAAATATTTTTCCTTGATAAACCATATTGAAAGATTTTTAAACAAAAGTAAAATGTCTCTAATCGAGATTATTCTTAGGTATTACCTAAGATGTAATAAACCATCATAATAATATTCCTTTGGGAGTGCTGATGTGCCCATAAAAAAATAAATAAATTTTATCACTGGTTAAATATGGAGGGGTTTCATGGATCTTATTCATGGACTGGGTCAATTTAAGTTGGTTTTATTTCTTTCTTTCTTTTGGACCTCTTTTCATGACTTGTCACATGAAGATTATTTCACGAGAATCTCCCATGCTCTCTTTTATTCATCTCCTCCTATCTTTCTCCTCTCTATTTTTTTCAATTTTTACCCTCATCTTCATCCTCTTTGACTTCCTCTTCTTTTATCTCATGGATAGGGAAAGGGAATTTGAAGAAGTTTTGGATGGAGGCGATGTGATACTATTGAAAAGAGATGATTTGAAATGGGGTAATATAGAAGGAAATGTATCGCCTTGCAAATATACATGCACAATAAAAAAAAGAGGTGCAAACACATATGTCGATAATTATTTTTAATTAAAATTCATTTTTAATATTTCCAAAAGGAAATATATAAGAGAGCATTTTTCAATTATATAATGATATATTATGTAAAATGTATTGATCAAATTGTTAAAATTGAACTTCATATATAACTTAAATATATTAATACATTTTTAAATATAAATTTTATATTTTAATAAAAATAATGAACAACAAACTTTAAAATATTTAATTTAATTTTATCTACTGCTATTTTTTTTATTCCTAAGTCTTCTCATGTTAATTCTATTTCTTATTTCAGGCCTATTTCCCTTTGTAATACCATGTATAAAATTATATCCAAAATTCTTGCCACTAGACTCAAGTGCATTATGCCTCTCATTATTAATCAGGCTCAGGCTGGCTTCATTTCTCATCGGATTTCTACGGATAATGTCATTTTAGCCTCGAAAATATTGGGTTTCTTTAAGAAGTGTACTAAAGTACCTTATATGTGTGCCAAGTTGGACATCAAGAAGGCTTTTGATTCTCTTTCGAGAGAATTTTTACTACAAAGAATGGCTCAGAAGGGGATTCCTCCTTTATTTATTCAATGGGATAAAGCTTGCATATCTATTGTGCATTTCTCTATATGTATGGACGGTCATCTGGAGGGTTTCATTCCCACTTTGGTTGGGCTGCGCCAGGGGTGCCACCTCAGTCCTTATTTGTTATGCATTGCTATGGATGCCTTATCCTTCCAATTTGATAATTTAGATGAGGACAATATTCTTCAGCCAGTATAAATGGTTTTAAAATCTCGCATCTCCTTTATGCAGATGATGTCATAATTTTTTGGAAAGGCTACCCATCGAATTGTCAATTTCTGAATGACATTCTTTTTAAGTTTACTAGCTCTTCTGGCCTGAGAGTAAACCCGGATAAGAGTTTTATCATCATGCAAGTGAGCTCTCCTTACATCAAAGAAATTTATGATACCCTCCATATCCAGAATCTTTGCACTACCTTCACTTACTTGGGCATTCCCATTTCCATCAAAAGAATTCTTATCTCCCATTTCTCTCCCCTTCTTGATGTTATAACTAACAAGCTTTCAGGTTGGAAAGCAAAGTCTCTCTCTTTTGCAGGTAGGCTACAATTTTTGAGGTTCACCATATGAAATACTATTGCCTATTGAATTCGCGGGACAATTTTACCTAAAACTTGCTACAAGCAAATTGCTAAGCTTTCTGCTAAACTCCTATTTTTTGGTGATATTGAGGTTAGAAAGCTTCATCTGGTCTCTAGGGCTAAGACGTGTAAACCAAAGAACAAGGGAGATCTTGTAATTCCTATTTTTCAAGCTATTCGATATGCTTACGACTGTTCCCTAATTCTCAGAATTTATAATTGGCAATCTCCACTTTCAACTTGGTATCTATCCAATTACTGCTCCCCTTGGAAACCTCCCCCCATGTCATCTTCGGCTATCTGGAAAAGCATTCGTAATACTGGTATGATAGCTAAATAAAATCTTATATTCAAAATCACTGATAACTGCCCCATTAGCTTAAAGTGGGACCACTGGTGTAATGGCCTATGCATACAAGAGCTTCCCTATCATCATTCCCTAACTTCTCTCTTCCTTGATAATGCGCGGTTGGATACTATGTACGAGTATGATGAATGGAATATTCTGGCTAATTATTCTGCTAACATTCATACCCTAATTTGCTCTATTCCTATTTTTTATTGTGGTCGGGGCAAATGCCTATCATGGGGTTCTGGTAGCACTTATAATTTTGGTAACTTTATCCAAGATTATCACAAATAAGATGGTGAGGCCTTATGGAGTAATTTGGTATGGCATAAACATTTTGCTTTAAGATTTTCTATTTATGCTTGGCTGTGTTTTGTTGGTGGGTTGAAAACTTCTGATGCCTCGCATAAGAGGAATATTGATGTGGATCCACAGTGCATTTTCTGCCACTCTAGCCCGGAAAGTGTTTCCCATCTATTTTTTGAGTGTGACTATACTTTCTGCATCATTACTAGACTGCTTCCATCCTTAAATTCTTTTCTTATGAGGCCTAATTTAAGTCAGATTACTGAATTCCTGGTTGATAGGGACAATTCTGGTTATGGAAGTTTGTATTTTAAATTGCTAACCCTTTGGGATGCTGTTTACATCATTTGGAGGGAGAGAAATGAGGGAAATTTATCAATTGTTTCAAAAGTGTCACGACCATTCAAGCTCTGATTAAAAAGGTGATTGCTATTAAACTTAAAAAATGGAAAAAGGATGGAAATACATGGCACTTATGTAGTTTTTTATGCTAGTCTTTTTGGCTTCCCGGCAAGGTTGTTCTTTTGCTCTATTTCTTTGAATAGTGGCATTCATTCCAGTTTTTGTTTATGCTGGCTTTTTTGGCAGAAGGCGATGATGTGCAGAATCCATCCTCCCCCCTAAAGGCGAATTTTGCAACATTTTCCTATTTGACGACATTTTTGGCAACCGGGGGTTTGTGCCTTCTTGAGGATGATTTTCTTATTTTCCTGAACCCGCATAAGGTGCAACCCCATCTACTATGGGTGTTTTTTTGGCTACTTGGTTGATGTATATCGCCTCCCAAGCTGGTTTCGCTGAGGATCTGTTTCCTCGTGTCTGCTTCTTTTTGTTATCGCTCTTTCAACATGTGTAATTTTTGGCACTCTTAGTGCTCCTTTTTCTTGCTGCCCTTGCAGCTCTTTCTCACAATTTTATTCTTTTTTCTTCTTTTACACATGTATCTAACCTTTTTCATTAATGAAATTTGGACTCTGCCCTACTTTTCCTAAAAAAAAAAATTATCACTGAGAGAAAAAATTTTCTGCAATAGACTCTTATCCTTTCACAAGCATTAGTATGTTACTCTCATCATCCGCACACTAATCCCGACTCAATGTGCGAGCATGACCGCTGAAGCTCCACTTGTCCACCCGCCAGCTTCTATGTCAACTTTCCTTCAGTGAGATGCAAATAATGAGCATCTCCGTCCCCTCCTGCTCTTCTCGCTGCCCGCAGCAGAAGTATCCTTATCCGTACGCCTCCCAAGCCATATCACCAATCCGAGTCCTGTCGGTCGTTTTCGTGAAGAGAAGCCAGTGCTTCCCATGTATCTTCGCCGCCAGGCAGCAGCAGGAAGCAGATAAACCTATGAAGAAGAAGCCGAGAAAGCGGAAAGCACCAGAGAAGTCTCATATTGATGGAGCTGACGTGGACTTCGAGTTTGAGGCTCCGGAGGCAGGCCTACGAAGTAGCCATCTCTCGCCTCTCCCTAAGCCGCCTGCAGGATTCGTGCTCGATGATCACGGCAGGGTCCTCTTGGACTCCAACAAACGAATAACCACCATTTTAAGTAGCCCTATCCTATTTTTCTCTCTACTGAAATCTATTTCAATTCCGCTGTTTAAGAAAGATCTAACAATTTAAGTATGATTGTGTGTGATTGGTGAAGTCGTACCATCGATTTTGTATAGAAAATGCTTTATTATGAAGCAATATGGTTGAATAAATGAAAATATTAGAAGAATAGGAATGTAAATAGCGCGAATCAAAGAGCAGTGAGCTTATCATTCCACCTGGTCTTCTATTACTATTTGTTCTTATTCTAATTACTAGTTTATGGAAGCTGGATGGGGTTCCTGAAGGCTACACTCTCCACAGCCATCCCTAGTGCCTACGGTGATTGGAAATCACCAGACAAACTACCAGCTGGAAGACCCCTATCAATTTGATACTGGGGGTTCTATCTGTTCAAAGGCACTGATCTGGAATTAGGGTGCAAAATAACTGTCTAACTGGCAGGAAATATTTATCTGAAGAGAAATACGGATTCTATGGGGAAATTGAGAAATTATTTTAATCTCCTAGTCTACCAAAGAGTAGAAAGAGGATGTGCTAGCGGTTTGCAACTGGAACCCGTGTCTTAGGATTTTCAGCCCTTAGACTACATGCCAAGGAAAGAGGTTTGGGTAAGACATCCTTTGTAATAACTAATAACCCATATATGTGAAATAACTTTATTTGAAAAGCATAAAATTTTTGAAGTAAAGCGCTTTAGTGCTGATCTGATGAGTGCTTCGACGCTAGGCCATGAACATTATATATATATGTTGCGTCCTAGAATATTCGCGGCAGTAGAGAAATATAAAGTTTAACGTCTTAGCATTGTACGAAAATCCAACTCACATACATATAAAAAGAGAGGGTATTGCATTTATAGGAGATACTAAGATTTTTACGTGGAAAACCCCTGTAAAGGGGGAAAAACTACGGGGCCTAGCCCAGTTTGAATGAATCCACTAGTATTTGCAGTTGATTGCAAATGAGGCCCTTCTTTGGGGGAAGGCCTTAGCTTAATATACATCTTATAGAGTACACTACATAGTTAGAATACAAAGAGTCACTGTTGACGTGTTTGTTTGGTCAGAAGGACCGTAGTCGATGGGAGACGTAAGTCGGAAGGACTATTGTCGGTGGGCGACGTAAGTCAAGAGGACCGTAGTCGGCGGGCGATGGAAGTCGGAAGAATTATAGTCGGTGGGTGACGTAAGTCAGGAGGACCGTAGTCGACGGGCGACGGAGGTCGGAAGGACTATAGTAGGTGGGCGACGTAAGTTAGGAGAACCGTAGTTGGTGGGCGACGGAGGTCGGAAGGACCGTTGTCTAACTACAGAGGTTAGAAGGACGACGTCAAATAGAAGTCCATCAATGGATAGAAATCCAACATCAGATAGATGTCCGATGAAAATCCAACAACAGGCAGAAGTCTGGTGTCAGGTAGAAATCTGGCGACGAGCGGAGGTCCACCGGGTAGAATTCCAGCGTCACTTGGGCATCAGATAGAACTCCAGTGTCACTTGGGCATCAGACAGAACTCCAGAGTCACTTGGAGATTAGATAGAATTATGGTGTCACTTGGGCAGAATTCCGACGTCACTTAGGTTTCGGGCAGAGTTCCAGCGTCTTTGGAAAGTTGGGCTGAATTCTGGCGTCACTTGGAAGTTGGGCGGAATTCCTACGTCACTTAGAAGTCGGGCGGAATTCCGGCATCACTTGGAAGTCGGGCGGAATTCCAACATCTCACGGAAGTCTGACAGAATTCTGACGTCCCGTGGAAGTCGGACAGAATCCCGAAGGTGGTCAAGGAGTTTCTTCCCTCCTACTCTTCTCTTATTTTTCTCTTCTTCTTCTTGCTTGGGTCCCCCTCTCAAGAGAAATGAGGGGATATTTATAGTATTTTGTGGATGGCATGACCCGTAAATAGGAGGAGGATCAAGGGCAAATGTGGAGTGTTTTGGATGGATGGCCGATATTGAATCCCTTGATCATGAACCATTCGTCAGCCATTTGAAGGTCTTAATGATATCGAAATTCGACAATCTTGAGCTTGTTGGATTCGTCTCGTCAAGTCGCTCAGTTCGACTATACGCATGTCATGTTTGGAAACCGTTTGGTAACCGAAATTGTGGTTCAAACATTCCAACAGCGCTTCAGGTCCTTGATTTGGTCTCATTTGGACTTGGATTGAGTTGAATTTGGTATTGTTGGGTTCATATTTCCGAGACGATCAGTTCGGCTATAAGTTTATTGAAATTGAAGTTTAGATGATCCCAAATTTAATTTTTGAAGTTTCCAACTTGATTTTTAACTCGAGATTCATGCCCGATCCAGATGTTTTTTTGATGACATATTAGTTGCCCCCCTATTTTCGAACGTCGAAGCTTTAGAAGTCCGAAAAAATTTGTATCAATATTTTATATTGGTCGAATCGCAAAAAATTCGTTCAAAAAATTAAAAACTTGCTCAAACTTGATCATAGAGGTCCCATTGAGCTCCGAAAATATCAAAATTTAATCCGGAACATCGAAAAATTTGTTTGGGGACCCCAAAATTGTCAGATTTGAACCGTTAGAGCAACAAATTGAGCCCAGACAAGAGTGGGCGGCCGAATCGGCCGGCCACCCCTGCCGTCAAGCGCCGCCACCAGCCGCCACCAGTGAGCCCGTGCTGACGCGCAGGTTGAAGGGGCGCGTGAAGCGTCCCCTTGAGGGGGGGGGGCGATTTTACATTTTTTTTTAATTTTTAAATTGGGGCGGCGAGTTCAGCCTCCCCTCACAAAAATTATTATTTTTTTTGCGGGGCCCTGCTGAATTATTATTTTTTTATAAAAAATTCAAAAAAGATTCTGAAGCTTATTTTCTTCCAAATTTCTCTTATAAATACCCCCTTGGGCTAAGGGAGAATTTGCTCCTTTCCTCTTTTTCTCCTTCTGACTTTTTTAGAGTGGAGGCATTCCGCTGTTTTTCGTAGGTGACTTTCCCTACTTAAATCGGAGCTCCTCCTCTTGTACAGAAGTTATAATTTTATCTTCTTTCTCTCATTCTAGCTTTCTTACAGTGGAGGCATTCCGCTGTTTTTCGTAGGTGACTTTCCCTACTTAAATCGGCACCCCTCCTCTTATTCAAAAGTTAGAATTTTCTCTTCTTTCTCTCTTTCTGGTTTTCTTACAGTGGAGGCATTCCGCTGTTTTTCGTAGGTGACTTTCCCAACTTCAATCGGCGTCACTCCTGTTGTATATAAGTTAGAATTTTCTCTTCTTTCCCTCATATTTTTCTTCTTGCTCTAGAGGCCTTCCTCTTTTTTTCGTAGGTGACTTTTCCTACTTAAATCGGTGCCCCTCTTCAGTGTAGAAGAAAATTTTTTCTCCTTCCACCATCTTTTTCTTTGTCAATCTTCTTACAGTTGAGGCATTCCGTTGTTTTTCGTAGGTGACTTTCCCTACTAAAATTGACGCCCCTCCTCTTATACAGAAGTTAGACTTTTTGCAGCCATTTCTTTACTTTTTCTTCCCTCATTCTAACTTTCTTACATTGGAGACATTCCCCTGTTTGTTATAGGCGGCATCCCCTACTAAAATTCAGGGCCCCTCTTTGTGTGTTAAAGTTAGAATTTTTTCTCCTTGTTCTTCTCTTGCATTCTTCTTCTTATATTAGAGGTATTCCACTATCGGAGATAGGTGACATTCCCCTATCAAGCTTCAGTGCCCCTTTCTTGTATAGAAGAAGTTACGATGAGAGACTATCTTCTTAATAGATAATTATTGACAGAAAAGATTAATTGCTACTTGTATGCGAGACTGATTTGAGAAGATCTAGCGGTTATAGTGTCTTGGAGGAGAACCAGAAGTGATGAGTAGACGGGTAGAATTTCGACGCTGTTTGAGTGAAGTTCGTCGACGATGGACGATCGAGCGGAAGTTTGTTTTCAGTCAACGACCGAGTGGAGAGCTGAAGGAGAGAGTTCGAAGGTGCGCTACAAGTAGCAGTTGAGTGACAATCCGATGATGGCTGAAGTAAATGACCGCCTGCAAATATCATAGGAAGGGCCAATGATCGTGGATGTCAAGTTGCATTTTGCTAAGCCAATATGCATCCATATTGATATGTGCAGACATTAGATATTTTTTTCTTTGAAGAAGAAGTTGTAGGAGATGCTTTAATGTGCAGTAGAGAAGAGGTCAATATAATCTGCTAAAGATATTTGATCTTTTTGAAGTTATTTGATGATTGTAACTTGTACATTTGATGCGGATGTACTTTTAATTTCAGCTTCTAATGAGAATTAATGTACACATGAATGTTGATATTGGATTTATGTAACTCCATTATATATGAAGTTAAAAATTTGTCCCTCAGAGGAAATTGATTTGTTTATGCATATTTGAGATATGCTTTGATATATTGCCCCCATATTTTTGTGAGGGTATTTTAGACTATTGAAGTCTTTATATGAGTGATGAATTTATCAACCACTTACTTTCATGGAATCTTTATAGAGAGAATGTTGTTCACTAAGAGCACTGCTCGATTATGTTGATCTCTATGAAAGAGGTTGAGAGAATCCATCAAGGATATATGACCTTATCTGACGTTGTATGTCAGAGCCTTTGCTCGATGACATTAATCTATATGGAAGAGGTCAAAAAAATCTACCAAGGATGTGAGACCTATCTGAGGTTGTTTGTTAGAGCCCTACTTGATGACATTAACCTGTGCGGAAGAAGTCGAGAGAATCCACCAAGGATGTGAAAGCTATCCGAGGTTGTATGTTAGAGCACTGCTCGATGATGTTAACCTGTGTGGAATAGGTCAAGAGAACCCACCAATGATATAAGACCTATCCGAGATTGTATGTCGGAGCCTTTACTCGACGATGTTAACTTGTATGAAAGAGGTCGGGAGAATCCACCAAGGATGTAAGACCTATCCGAGGTTATATTTCAGAGCACTTTGCTCGATGACATTAACCTGTGTGGAAGAGGTCGAGAGAATCCACTAAGGATGTGAAAC